TGTTTTAAAGAAAACCTTCCTCGCAATGACTGGCTAAATTCTTTCCGGAAGCAAAAATTGTGATTACTCAAAGGAATGCTGAAAATATAAAAAGATCCAGATCCAGATACAAAGTTCATGATGATGTAATAAACCAATATTGTTACAAAAGTAAAGGAGATAAGGGATGCTTTGCCAGGACCTGGTTAACCAGGAAAACAACAAAATTTTGTGAAAAAAGAAAACTCAGAATATTAAACTACCTATTCTTCAACTTTTCTAATGTTTGCTACCACTGAAGGAGAACTTTTACCACATTGTATGTTGTCCACCAGGCAAATCTTTTAGGTTTTTTAACAATCTTCAAAGGTTTTTAATAATTATTATATTAATAAATTAAATCCATATCTAAATCATTTTTAGGGCACAAGCTTTTGCATTAAATAAATAAATTTGTATAGTATACAAAATCAATTTTTATCACTTCTATATTTGTAATTGCTAAAATTTATTTTGCCAAGCATCAAAACCTTTAATGAAAATTAAAAATTTGTGACTTCCAACTTACCTTTATTGTTAATTTTTTTATTTAGACTTATATATTATATTTTAACTAACTACTTAAATTTCTTTGACTTTTTATTTTTGTTGCTAATTCATAATTTGTATTATATTTTATTTAGAAAATTTGTTATAATTGTTAATAGGCAATATTTTTTCTCTTTATGTCACATATATTTGAATTTTTCCAGTTATTATTTAAATTAGATTTTTTAGATTTTTTATTAATATTGATTGAAAGTTGTAGTATCTTGTATCTATAGAAAATTGTTAATATATTGAATAAAGGTAATAGTTTTTCTTTTCAAAATACCATTGAAAATTTTTTGTTTAAGCTATTTTGTTATATTTTAATTTGTTTGAATTTTATAATACAATAATCCCACGTATTTCCAACGTTTTATAATACACAAAACCCACGTATTTCCAACGTTTTCTAATACACAAATCCCAAGTATTTCCAATGTTTTATAATACCTAAAACCCACATATTTCTCACGTTGTATAACACACAAATCCCACGTATTTCCAACGGTTTATAATACATAAATCCCACGTATTTCCAACGTTTTATAATACGTAAATCCCACGTTTTTTATAACATTAGAAACTAACGTTGTCATATAACGTTATAAACTGGGACATTTCAACATTAAATTATACATAAAAGTTGGGTTTTTCCAACGTGGGAAAAACGTTGTTTCAACGTAAAATTTCCACTAGGGTTAGGTAATAATAGAGTACTAACGCATTTTACTCAGAATTTTATGTATAATTAAAAAATGTAAAAATTTATGAGGTGTCCTGTTTAAAATAAGAAAGTTAAAGACATTTCCGGTAAAACAGGAAGTATTATTTTGTTCAAAATAATTTAGGAAAAAGGTCTAAATCGATTAATTTACACTATTAAAATTTTAAATCGATGACTTTCGAGATTCCCTAGAAACTTCTAACGGACTACGTACGTGAAGCACCCTGTATATTAAACGTCATTTATGTGTTATGCTTTACTTAATTATTAATAAAAGATACAACAATAACATTTATGAATACTGCTACTTCTAATTCTAAACTGATCCTGGCCACAAAAACATCATTTGCATAAAAAAGTTAATACATCAAATAATAGTCAAATACCAATACTTTAACGTGTTATACTCAAATTTATAAAACAAAGTTGATTCTTCGATTATTTATCCTTTAAAAATTGTTAAATTTTAAATTAAATTATCACCAGCGCCCCCTTTACGTTACAATCTAAACAAAATTTTTTCATTTATTAATTGTCATTAGTTAAATCTACATTTTTTTTAAATTTCAAATTGATACGTTTTGAAATAAAAAAATTATTTAAAAAAAATAAAAATAAAAACAAAGTGTACGAGATTTTTTTTTAAAGTACTGCATTTAGATGTAGAAATCAGGTAAAAAAGTTTCAATCGATTTCTTGAACCCTTGCAAATCGACCGTACGATCCTTTCGCGAAACCGTAGTTAATTTGCTGGGTTGTAATATCATGACATATGTCAAACCCACTTCACTCTTATTTTAAAGCTAGAATACCTAGACCAGAATCTCCTAGTCTAGAATCTCTGTATCGCTTTTTGCAGTTTAACTGTTTGATATATGGATTGTGAATTTTTCGTATAGGTGATGTTTCGATTTCGAGTTTTTTTTATTAAGAATATTTTTTTGACATTTTGTATCTAAATAGAGAACCCCTATAAGAATAAACATATGATAGAATTATATAGATATGGTCAAAATTATTTTAAAATCATTTTTGTTCATTCGAAAAAAAATTGGTAACCCATGAAACACACAAAAAGGGGGGTTGATTCTTCCCTAAAGGAACGGCTCCAATTTAGAGAAGAAATTTTATTATCTCAGGGGATGCTAAGGAATCACAAGGTACCAATGATTTTTGTTGGCATCGTGGGAAAACTTTTTTCTTTCCAGCCACCTGTGAGGAGTAGTTCGAATAGTTATCGTTCTGTTTGATAATTTTGTAAAATGTTGTTCTTGGTTGGTAAATTTTGTAAATGCCGACTAATGAATTTGCATTTTTAAGTAATCCAAGTAAGTAATTTGGAATGTAAAAATTAAGTACGATTTTTGACCAATTTTTTAATAAAAAATCAGTAAAAATAAATATATTTTTTAGAATTTAATTTCAAATAGAAAACAATAATTACCTATTATAAAAAAAGTTATTTTTTTTTGAAAAATTTATTTGATAAAAAGTGTGATCTCCAGAATGTACACAGCTGGCTTTCGACTTGAATGCGCAGCAGCTGATATCTTCATGATTTTACAAGGAAAATGTTTCATTTCAGAAAATATTTCTAAATATATTTATAATATACTAACCTAAATATTAATAAATTTACTGCTTCATTTAGTACAAAAACAAAACACAAGGGTTATGTCTGCACATGGGGGAAGTGAAAACAAGAGTGGGCAGACGCATAATTTCTATCTAGACTCTTGAATAATAATCTAGACTAGTTAATCTAGAGAAGACCGCATTAAGCTTTTTTAATTAAGACTTAGATTCACACAACTCTTGTCTTGAAATTTTCAAGACAAGACAAGAGTAAGTAACTCTTGTCTTGTCTTGTCTAGACGGTACCACTACTGTTGATTAAATTAAATATCGAAGCCCCGCGAGATTTCGGTAACAAGAAGATGATTTATCAGTGCCGCGGCTTGCCGTTTGTTCGTACAGAGCGGCTACCGAAATACATGTATTTAATTGTGCCTAAACATAGAGATGATGGACGGGGTGAAATTCCTTAGACCGCTCAACTTAGCCTGAACGGACAGTATACAATAGTATATATATATATAAATAATCAACAGTTTTACCAAAGGGATGGTAACTTGTTGGTTTATTAAATTGTTACAGTTACGCATTCTTTTTGTTATTAAAATATTTCATAAAATAAAATTTCTATTTTATTGTCTTGCAATGAGCTAGTGCTTTATCTAGTTGACATCCTACAGCTTTTTTAAGTTTTTTTTCAAAATTGGCAAATAGGTACTGTTTGTATAACTTTTAAATTATTTTAAAGGTTTGGCTTGTAATCAGTAATATGGTTTACTTAATTGGTTAACAAATTATTTATAACAACATAAAAAATTGACGCCATTAAATTTTGAAAAAATACAGATTACGTGGTATTCATAGGGTATTTCCATTGTTACGGGTGCGACACTTACACTGCGTTTTTTCATTATAATAAAGTGTTTGTTCATATACAGTGTGTTCCATTTAAAACAAACCACCCTAAATTTCTCGGAACCTGAATTTTTTTTTTTAAAACGCCGAGGCACGTAAAGTTTTATATCGAGGGGGACAGATTTCATGGCAAAATTTGGTTTTTCACCCCTACCCCTTGCGGCCAGGAGCTACCCCCTTAAGAATTTGAATGGGGAAGGGGTATCGACCAATACATTATTTTAAAGGTCTTTAAAATCCCTATACAACAATGTTTTACTTTTTAAAATCGGTCTGTTTTTATTTTTGAGATATTTCAGAAAAACCATCCAATGTGCTTTTAAAACTTCCCACCTTAAATTTGTCAAAAACTGAAAGAATTTGGAATAACGCGTTTTATATCGAAATTGCAAAAGGAATCATGTGGCACATCATTTTAAAGCTCTTTTAATTTGCAATACAACTGTGTAGTTTTGTAATTTAACGATTGGTTGTAAAGAAAAAAACAATTTTTATTGTTATTACTGTACCAATTTGAATTTGAATTTGAATGGGGAAGGGGTATCGACCAATACATTATTTTAAAGGTCTTTAAAATCCCTATACAACAATGTTTTACTTTTTAAAATCGGTCTGTTTATTTTTGAGATATTTCAGAAAAACCATCCAATATGCTTTTAAAACTTCCCACCTTAAATTTGTCAAAAACTGTAAGAATTTGGAATAACGCGGAAACTCAAAGTTTTATATCGAAATTGCAAAAGGAATCATGTGGCACATCATTTTAAAGCTCTTTTAATTTGCAATACAACTGTGTAGTTTTGTAATTTAACGATTGGTTGTAAAGAAAAAAACAATTTTTATTGTTATTACTGTACCAATCCTGCAAAATTTGGTCAAAACGGCTTTGGTGAGTTGAATCTCTAATGTGAGTTGAATCTATAATTTCGAAACTAAACAAAGCTCATCGATGAAAATCTAAAAATGAAAGAAACTCCGTTAGATTTAGAAAATTTTTAGTTTAGTAAATTTTGTAAATGTCTACTAATGAATTTGCATTTTTAAGTAATTCAAGCGCCAATCAAATTATTAGTCAAAAGAAAAAGTTTTATAATCGGACCCTTAGCTACGCCCCTGCATATAAATAATAATTATAATATAAATAAAATAATAATATAAATAAAAACTTTAATGTTTTCTAATAATTATTTTTTTTGTTCTATGGTTAAAGGTTAGTATTTACATATTAACAAACCCAATGAATATACGTACATTAAATACAAATATTTTTTTTATTAACATTTATTAAAACATAACAAACAGATAAAAATCAATATGTATTTATTTAAAAAATCACCACCAATCTTGATAAGCAAAAGTTACCGTATAGTATTCAATATTAACACATTTCTGTATGTTATCACTTTTATAATCAGATGTAACAGCTAATTTCCCACACTCCACATTAAAATTCACAATGCTGTTGTTATTATTTTTACAACCCATCACCACATTGTTTATTATAACCAAATCTTCTTCATCGCACATAGACACTAACATTTTACTGCCACATAGTGATAGTAAACAAAGATCTGGGGTAGCTTCAACCTAAAAATATTTAGTTTAAATTAAATTATAAAATATATTTAAAAATGATAATTTGATCCTGGATATATTTTTCATATTAAATCAAACATATTTTTTATTTTACCTTCATTGGTAGATTAAATCCTTTCTTGACATCTACACATTGTAAATCCATGTTGCTAGCCAAATGGCCTATTGTTAAGTTCACTTTGGTCACATATTCTCTACATTCAGAAACATTGCAGGATTTATATGTGCCGTAAATTGTGTTTAATCCATTTTCCAGTGTAATGTTTTTCTAAAATTGTCTTTTAATTATGTTTGTATGTATTTTTTTATCAAAGACTTACTGTCATCAATGCAGGCAAAACAAAATCCTGTAGCCCAGTAGCAGATATGGTTAGATCTTCTTTTAACAAGTTGTCTATTTTTACCAACCTGCCTGAACAGAGATTTATTGCAAAATATACTAAAACAATTTCCTTTAAAAACGCCATGCCAAATTATTATTTTATGAATAACAGATATTTTAATCAATTATTGCGGTGTAAATTAAAGATTAGATTAGTTTACACAAATAAAATTATTATTCTAAGAAATAAAAGGTGTTTTTATTTTTTTAAGTATACTTGGAATTATATACTAAGTGCAGTACAATAGACAATAATTTAACTGGGTTATATTTATTATAAAGTTAATATAAACTTAAATTAAAATTTAAAAATGTTACTAGCAAAATGTAAAACAATAAAATATTTTAACTTTAAATTATTTTTTTTAAACTTTCAAAAACTAATCCTTTACCAAGAAACATAAACTTTTATAATTTTAAATTACTAATTGTATACAATATATTGAATTTATACAATACATACAATATATATATATATTAGGGTGTCCCAAAAAAAAAGAATATTTTTTTCTTCTCGTTCCTTGTGAAAATATGTTGGTTTGTCATGTTTTAAGAGCCCTGTCAAAAGATCAGCACCATTAAAAAATTTTTAGGGGTCGCTCAAGATTTTTAAAAATTACCAAAATCATCAAAAATTGGATTTTTTTTTTATTTTAATTTTTTTTCTCTATCCGATATTATTTTTTAATTTAAAAATAATATTGATTCTGAAAATTTCAAATCGATATTTTAATTTCTAAAGGTCGCTCAAGATTTTTTTAACTTTCAAAGTAGAGTATTTTGAATGTTTTCGAGCGACCTCTGAATATAAATATCAACGAACTTTTAGCGACCTTTAGAAATCAAAATATTGATTTGAAATTTACAGAATTTTTATTATTTTCAACCTAAAAAATAATATCGAGACGAGAAAAAGAATTAAAATAAAATTGAATTTTTGACCATTTTGAAAATTTTTAAAAATCTTTTGCGACCCCTACAAAATTTTTAATCGAGGTGATATTTTGAAAGGGCTCTCACAGCATGATAAACTAAAATATTTTTACAAGAGACAAGAAAAAAAAATATATTCTTTTTTTTTGGGACACCCTAATATATATATATATATACAGTATGTCTCAGTATCTTGGAATCATATGGAAAACTTTTTTATTATTAATTTTAGGAAAAAAAGTTATTCTTCATAAAAAGTTCTGCATGGTGTAAAACTTAAAATGCAACCCACAAATATTATTTTTTTTAGTCGTATAGTCAAAAAATATGAATTTGCTCAAGAGTAAAGTACCTTTATATTTGACAATATCGAAAATTGTTATAAAGAAAAGTTAATCAGAACTAAAAACTACGTTCAAATATGCAATTACATCCATTTACATTAAAAAAAATATTTTTTCTTTTTTGTCTACAATATCAATGCAAATTTAACTGTAACATGTAATCTAGGATTCACTGATAAACAAATGATTTGTTGATATTCTAAATCTTTTTGGCTTGCTAGATCCTCTGACTTAACTTAAGGTTTTCATGTTTTTTCTAATCATAACAGATAAATGTAAAGATTAGTAAAAATTAACAAAACCTAATTTTTTAATGTAAATGTATGAAATTGCATATTTAAACGTACTTTTGAGTTCTGATTAACTTTTCTTTATAACGATTTTTGATATTGTCAAATATAAAGGTACTTTACTCTTGCGCCAAATTCATATTTTTTGACATACCTCGTATACGACTAAAAAAAATTAATATTTGTGGGTTGCATTTTAAGTTTTACACCATGCAGAACTTTTTATGAAGAATAATTTTTTTTCCTAAAATTGATAATAAAAAAGTTTTCCATATGATTCCAAGATACTGAGACATACTGTATATTGCGGTGTATTTATAGAGGTTGGTAATTATTAAATTAAAGATTAGATTAGTTTACACAAATAAAATTATTATTCTAAGAAATAAAAGGTGTTTTTATTTTTTTAAGTATACTTGGAATTATATACTAAGTGCAGTCAGAGCTGTCAGAAAAAAGTATCTTAGTTACTTTAAAGTATCTAAGTTACTGTATCTTTGTTCCTTTATTTTTTTAACAAAAAGTATCTAGTATCTTAGATACTTTTTAAAAGGAACTGTATCTTGTAACTTAAAAAAAGTATCTTAGATACCGAGAAGTATCTTAGATCAGGGGCGGCTAGTGCATAAGGGCTGCAGAGCTGCAGAACTCCCAAAATTTTCCTATTACTTGACTAATTTTTTAATTATTTAATATTTAAGTGCGACAGTGTATGAATATTTCAAACGCATGGCTGCATAAAAAGTTTTTATTATAAACATTCGCCGTACTTGGCCACTACAGTCATCCAAACGACCGGTAAAGGTCTCTAACGCTTAACGCTTACAATACAACAAAGCTGGGCCACTTTCGAGTTCTGGCTCCCATTTCAATACCGTAATTTTGCTCCGCGCCGCTCTTGGTCCTAGGTTGAGATAGTGAAATATAAGCCAAACCGGAGCTGCACCAACATACAGTTCCTACTTCCCGGTCGTTTGTTTTTCGCTTCGCGTTCACGTTTGTTATTTTAACTAGAAGACTGTTAATTCGGTGTATTTTTGTGTTTGTTGTTGTATTCTTTTGTAAGAATGAATGTGGTGTATGATTTAATTATGATTTAATTAATTAACTGTAGGTACCATTTAATTAAACCCCACTGGCAGAACTCACAAATTTTACTGCCACGAGCCGCCACTGTCTTAGATACCAAAAAGTAACTTAGATACCAAAAAGTAACTTAGATACCAAAAAGTATCTAAGATACCACAAGAAAAGTTCCTTTAGTCAAGTTGTTCGAAACGGCCGCGGCCATCGAAGTTATTATAATAAGTATACTGGCGACTTCAGCGACTGGCGCCAATCGACTGGCGGCGATTTTTGTTATACCTACCTAATTTTTATTCACCTATACTTCTTTTATAATCTGTTACTTCGCCACCCGCTCTGTAGAAGGGTGTTTCCGTTCGTTGCGACTTGAATTTATAGTGGTAAGTCTGAAATAAGTTAGGTTAGGTAAGTACTTGCACTTGCTTCTTTATGATGTACTGATATTGATTGTTACATTGTACCGTACATTCTATAATGTTCAATGTATGTTTTCCATTTTAAATTTTAAAAAAATGTTAAAAAAGATTAAATGAAAAGTGTGAGATAATTTTTTTTATTTTTATAATTAAGTGGTGTTTAATTAACGATTTTATCTCTTTTTATTTTTAAGATATTTGTGCCTAAGTTCGATACTTTTTGCATTAGACCCTTCAATGGTTTTAATCAACTAGATTTTATTGAAAAAAATTGTTAAAAAAGTAAGCTTAAAATTATTTGAAAAATCAGGGTGGGGTTGGAACGAATTTTTGTTGGGCGGTTTATGCGAAACTTATTACATAATATACAAAGTAACTAAAAAGTATCTTATTAAGTATCTTAAAAAGTAACTTAAGATAAGTATTTAAGTTCCTTTTTTTAAAGAGTAACTAGATACCCAAAGTAACTTCGGATACTTTTTCAAAAAGTAACTTATCTTGTATCTAGATACTTTTTAAAAGTATCTTTGACAGCTCTGAGTGCAGTACAATAGACAATAATTTAACTGGGTTATATTTGTATAAAGTTAATATAAACTTAAATTAAAATTTAAAAATGTTACTAGCAAAATGTAAAACAATAAAATATTTTAACTTTAAATTATTTTTTTTAAACTTTCAAGACTAATCCTTTACCAAGAAACATAAACTTTTATAATTTTAAATTACTAATGGTATACAATATATTGAATTTATACAATACATACAATATATATATATATATATATATATATATATATATATATATACGTATAATTGGTATGTTGTTTAGCCCGAGATACTATTGGGGCGCTCTGCCACCCACCATTTCTAACGTGGTTAGACGAGTATATATCTTTGCTAAGTGTTTGTTAACATAATTTAATATAGGAAATACCAAGAGGGGTAAATATATAAGTTAATTTAATGATCTCTTTATTTATGGTACGTTGTAAAGCCCATAAGATATATATAGTACGTTATTCATCCCTCGTGTATGTAAAAACCAAGCAGACGGTTCTTGTTTAGCCCGCAACGTTGCCGGTTTTCACCAAGCCAACGCGTACAAATTGTCCAATAAGAACAGCGCTATCCACCTGTTCTGTTGCCACGCGGCGATCACGCGACATAAATTTGCATTTAATGCCTATTTTCGTATTATTCTTCATACGTTCAACGTTGTGCATCCCGTTTTACTTTGTGTTCGTTGTGCATCCCGTTTGTGGTAAGTGATAAATTATGATAAATTATAATTTATCATAATTTATCACTTACCACAAAAGGGATGCACAACGAACACAAAGTAAAACGGGATGCACAACGTTGAACGTATGAGTATGAGTATATATACTGATAATTACCCTCTTATATATGCCTACAAGACAATTATCGCTTGTTTAAAGCGATAATTGTCTACTAGGAATCGATAATTCCATTGTATCTACGCGTAGATACAATGGAATTATCGATTCTTAGTAGACAATTATCGCTGTAAACAAGCGATAATTGTCGTAGCTACGTAGCTACGTATCCATGGCAATTAATAAAAATAACGTCAGTTTTTATTTTAATGTGACAGTTATTTAAAATGTCATATTTTTCATAATTATTAATTTTTTTTATTTTACATTAGGTATTTGTTAAATGAAGTTTTGTGTTGAAATTAAAATATTTGAAAATGTTTTTCTTTGATTTAATTAGTTTATTCGTATAATTATTTAAACAAATTACACTCGAGCATAAAAATAATCAGATAATTTTGCATTCAAGCATATTGCCCTTTAAAAAATGCATTCGATCATTTTCATATTTTGAGGGAAGAGCCCTCCACCTTCGGTGTCGGGCTCTTTCCAAAATATGAAAATGAACTCATGCATATTTTAGGCAATTTGCTTTCAAGCAAAATTATCGATAATTTTTAAGCACTTGTTTAATTACCCCCGATAATAGTTTACACATTGCGACAAGATAAAAAAGGTAAGTAAGAATTATTAATTACACTGGTCAACAACCATTTTGCCTGGCACTGC